AAAAAATCCCTGGTGCCCTAGTATTATTTTCTTAAAGAGCTTTAAAAATCTCGGGGGCTCGAAGTGTTATTTTTGAAGAGTTTAAAAGAATCTCGAGGGCTCCAAGTGTTATTTTTAAGGAATTTAAAAGAATCTCGGGAGTTTCTAATATTCTGTTTTTAGTGAGCCTAAAATAATCTCGTGATCCCTTGGTGCTCAACTTTTGAAGTAATTTAAAGAATCTCGGGGCCGCTAGTGTTATTTTTTTAAAGAGCTTAAAAAATATCGGGGTCTCGAAGTGTTATTTTTAAAGAGTTTAAAAGAATCTCGGTGGCTAAATGTTATTTTTAAGGAGATTAGAAAAATCTCGGGAGCTCCTAATATTCTGCTGTTTAATGATCTTAAAATAATCTAGGGTCCCCTGATGCTTTACTTTTGAAGTAATTTAAAGAATCTCGGGAGCTCAAGTGTTACTTTTTAAACAGAGTACAAAAATCTCTGGGGCCCTAGTGTTACTTTTTTAAAGAGCTTTAAAAATCTCGGGTGCTCGAAGTGTTATTTTTGAAGAGTTTAAAAGAATCTCGAGGGCTCCAAGTGTTATTTTTAAGGAATTTAAAAGAATCTCGGGAGTTTCTAATATTCTGTTTTTAGTGAGCCTAAAATAATCTCGTGATCCCTTGGTGCTCAACTTTTGAAGTAATTTAAAGAATCTCGGGGCCGCTAGTGTTATTTTTTTAAAGAGCTTAAAAAATATCGGGGTCTCGAAGTGTTATTTTTAAAGAGTTTAAAAGAATCTCGGTGGCTAAATGTTATTTTTAAGGAGATTAGAAAAATCTCGGGAGCTCCTAATATTCTGCTGTTTAATGATCTTAAAATAATCTAGGGTCCCCTGATGCTTTACTTTTGAAGTAATTTAAAGAATCTCGGGAGCTCAAGTGTTACTTTTTAAAGAGAGTACAAAAATCTCTGGGGCCCTAGTGTTACTTTTTTAAAGAGCTTTAAAAATCTCGGATGCTCGAAGTGTTATTTTTGAAGAGTTTAAAAGAATCTCGAGGGCTCCAAGTGTTATTTTTAAGGAATTTAAAAGAATCTCGGGAGTTTCTAATATTCTGTTTTTAGTGAGCCTAAAATAATCTCGTGATCCCTTGGTGCTCAACTTTTGAAGTAATTTAAAGAATCTCGGACCCGCTAGTGTTATTTTTTTAAAGAGCTTAAAAAATCTCGGGGGCTCGAAGTGTTATTTTTAAAGAGTTTAAAAGAATCTCGGTGGCTAAATGTTATTTTTAAGGAGATTTGAAAAATCTCGGGAGCTCCTAATATTCTGCTTTTTGATGATCTTAAAATAATCTGGGGTTCCCTGATGCTTCACTTTTGAAGTAATTTAAAGAATCTCGGGAGCTCTAAGTGTTACTTTTTAAAGAGATTAAAAAAATCCCTGGGGCTCTAGTATTATTTTTTTAAAGAGCTTTAAAAATCTCGGGGGCTCGAAGTGTTATTTTTGAAGAGTCTAAAAGAATCTCGAGGGCTGCAAGTGTTATTTTTTAGGACTTCAAAAGAATCTTGGGAGTTCCTAATATTCTGTTTTTAGTGAGCCTAAAATAATCTCGTGATTCCTTGGTGCTTAACTTTTGAAGTAATTTAAAGAATCTCGGGGCCGCTAGTGTTATTTTTTTAAAGAGCTTAAAAAATCTTGGGGGCTCGAAGTGTTATTTTTAAAGGGTTTAAAAGAATCTCGGTGGCTAAATGTTATTTTTAAAGAGATTAGAAAAATCTCGAGAGCTCCTAATATTCTGCTTTTTGATGATCTTAAAATAATCTAGGGTCCCCTGATGCTTTACTTTTGAAGTAATTTAAAGAATCTCGGGAGCTCTAAGTGTTACTTTTTAAAGATATTAAAAAAATCTCGGAGACTCTTAGAGTATTTTTTTTAAGGTTAAAACATGTCGGGGGCTCCAAGTGTTATTTTTAAAGAGTTTTAAAAATCTCGGGGGCTTCTAATACTCTTTTTTTTTAACCTAAAATAATTTCGGAGTCCCCTAGTGCTTTATTTTTAAGTAATTTAAAGAATTTTGGGGATTCTAAGTGTTACTTTCTAAAGAGATTAAAAAATCTCGGGGGCTGCAAGTGTTATTTTTAAGAAGTTTAGAAAAATCTCGGGAGCTCCTAATCTTTTGTTTCTTAATGATCTTAAAATAATCTCGGGGTCCCCTGGTGATTTACTTTTGAAGTAGTTTAAAGAATCTGGGGGACTCTTAAGTGTTACTTATTAAAGATATTAAAAAAATCTCGGGGGCTCTTAGAGTTATTTTTTTAAGGTTAAAACATATCGGGGCTCCAAGTCTTATTTTTAAAGAGTTTAAAAGTATCTCGGGGAGTCCACGTGCTATTTTTGAAGAGTTTAAAAAATCTCGGGGGCTTCTAATATTCTGTTTTTTTAACCTAAAATAATCGCGGGGTCCCGCGGTGTTTTATTTTGAAGTAATTTAAAGAATTTTGGGGACTCAAAGTGTTACTTTCCAAAGAGATTAAAAAATCTCGGGGGCTCCTAGTGTTATTTCTTTAAAAAGCTTAAAAAATCTCGGGGGCTGCAAGTGTTATTTTATTTCTAAGAAGTTTAGAAAAATCTAGGGAGCTCCTAATCTTTTGTTTCTTAATGATCTTAAAATAATCTCGGGGTCCCCTGGTGTTTCACTTTTGAAGTAGTTTAAAGAATCTGAGGGACTCTAAGTGTTACTTTTTAAAGATATTAAAAAAATCTCGGAGGCTCTTAGAGTTATTTTTTTTAAGGTTAAAACATGTCGGTGGCTCCAAGTGTTATTTTTAAAGAGTTTAAAAGAATCTCGGGGGCTCCAAGTGTTATTTTTGAAGAGTTTAAAAAATCTCGGGGGCTTCTAATATTCCGTTTTTTTAACCTAAAATAATCTCGGGGTCCCGTGGTGCTTTATTTTGAAGTAATTTAAAGAATTTTGGGGACTCAAAGTGTTACTTTCTAAAGAGATAAAAAAATCTCGGGGGCTCCTAGTGTTATTTCTTTAAAAAGCTTAAAAAATCTCGGGGGCTGCAAGTGTTATTTTTAAGAAGTTTAGAAAAATTTCGGGAGCTCCTAATATTCTGCTTTTCGATGATCTTAAAATAATCTAGGGTCCTCTGATGCTTCACTTTTGAAGTAGTTTAAAGAATCTGGGGGACTCTGAGTGTTATTTTTTAAAGATATTAAAAAAATTTCGGAGGCTCTTAGAGTTATTTTTCTTAAGGTTAAAAAATGTCGGGGCTCCAAGTGTTATTTTTAAAGAGTTTAAAAGAATCTCGGGGGCTCCAAGTGTTATTTTTGAAGAGTTTAAAAAATCTCGGGGACTTCTAATATTCTGTTTTTTTAACCTAAAATAATCTCAGGGTCCCGTGGTGCTTTATTTTGAAGTAATTTAAAGAATTTTGGGGACTCAAAGTGTTACTTTCTAAAGAGATTAAAAAATCTCGGGGGCTCCTAGTGTTATTTCTTTAAAAAGCTTAAACAATCTCGGGGGCTGCAAGTGTTATTTTTAAGAAGTTTAAAAAAATCTCGGGAGCTTCTAATATTTTGTTTCTTAATGATCTTAAAATAATCTCAGGGTCCCCTGGTGTTTTATTTTTGAAGTGGTTTAAAAAATCTGGGGGACTCTAAGTGTTACTTTTTAAAGATGTTAAAAAAATCTCGGAGGCTCTTAGTTATTTTTTTTTTAAGCTTAAAACATGTCGGGGGCTTCAAGTGTTATTTTTAAAGAGTCTAAAAGAATTTCGGGGGCTCTTAATATTTTATTTTTTTTTTGTATCTTAAAATAACCTCTGGGTCCCCTAGCGTTTTAATCTTGATAAAGTTTGAAAGAGTGTCAGGGTCCCTTGGTATTTTACTTATGAAATACATAATTTGAAAAATCTCGGGAGCTAAAAGTGTTATTGTTAAAAAGTCCAAATAAATATTGAAGGCTCCTAATATTTTCTTTTTTAATGAGCCTAAAATAATCTCGTGCTTCACTTTTGAAGTTATTTAAAGAATCTCGGGGGCTCTAAGTGTTACTTTTTACAGAGTTTAAAAAATCTCGAGGGCTTTAAAAGAATATCCTGGGTTCCTAATATTCTCTCTTTTTAATGAGCTTAAAATAATCTTCATGCTCCCCTGGTGTTTTATTTTCGAAAAAAAAAAAACGAAAAAAACTTCGGGGGCCCATTGTGTTCAATTTGGAAACAATTAACAACCGTATTTTCTAACAGCACTTTGGTCAAAAAAGATAAAAATCTAACAGAACTGAAAAAAAAACAAAAAAAAGTGAGTTTTTAGGAACCCATCTCTTATTTTTTCGTTAAGATTTAAAAATCATGAGTCTATAAAATTGTTTGGACTTTGGACAGTGTATGCGATAGAAGCTTAGTTTGACGTTAAATTGCACGCTTTTCTCATTCGAACTCGCAAACTAAATAAGCGCACTCCTTTAAAATAATAAAGACAGCATTGTAAAATTAACAGTTCGCCCATAAACACTCAAAGAACACCGCTCTGGCATAAATATTTGTTCAGCACTTTAATGTACGTTGTAAATTAGATATTAGAGGTGCAAATAATAAAAGCGAACATTAAACAATGCACACTTTTAAAAATAAAATAGTACCGTTTCGCGGACGCGTGCTCGTACCAACTTCGTACCGTAAAAAAAATAGTATTTTCTCGTACCAATTAAACTGAACAAATTCCACTTATAAATATTCATCACGACCGCCTCTAATCACCATAATTTCACTCAAACAATAGGACAAATTTCTATTTGAAAGTATAAATCGATGTCATCATCTCAAATTCGCTTTAACATGCATCGGCCGATCAGCCATTGTTTTGAAACCACATCAGTGATTTTGAATTCATCCGTCGACAATAATAGCAATAGCTCGAATTAATTAGTTCTGTAATGGCATGACTAACCCAACGCGGGAGGATGTTGTTGGAGGAAAATTATAAAAACGTGTCCCAATTTTCTATGGACTTGTCTTACCTTGTTGGGCAAGGTGGCGTTATGCAACTCGTCGAGGGTGGGTCTGTTGGCGGCCTGCAGCGACATTATGTTTCTGTAATTATCCAGTCTTGGTAGTGCTTCACGTGTTAAGTGCCTGAAAAAGATAATGGCCAGGTTGTGATTTATGGATTTATATTTATGCGCGTGTAATCAAATAATCAAAAATAAAGTGGATGATTCGGGGGAACTTGAATGGACGCTGGACTTTTGCGGAGTCGTGAAAAACAAAATAACAATTTTTTATTTTTATACACCGACACTGATTATTTCTCTACTGAATTAGAAGTTTTTTGATTGAATCCGAAAAAATTAAACTGTTTTTTCGAGTAGTTCTTTTTATTTCTTACGATCGATTTTGGCTGGTGACTAACCATCTTCGGGTCTTTACAATAACAAGAATTGTAACGAATTTGAAAGAATCTTGACGACCTCCGTATCTTTTTTTTTTAATGTGAACGAATCTCAGGTCCCCCAGTGTTTATTTTTGAAATAATTTGAAAGAATCTTGACAAACTCCCATGTCTTTTTTTTAAGAATGTTAAAGAATCTCGGAGGCCATTGATCTTTTATTTTTTAAGGAATTTAAAAGGATCTTGAGAACCCCAGGGTGTTTCATTTTTTTCTAAAGAATATTAAAGACTCCTCAGAGCCCCCGGGGCATTTATTTTTTAAGAATTTGAAAAAATCTAGGGAACCCTTTGTGTTTTATTTTTGAAACGGTTTAAAACACTGTCAGGGTCCTCTGATGTTTTATTTTTGAACTAATTTGAAAGAATCTTGACGACTTCTCGTATCTTTTTTTTATGAAAAAATCTCGGGTCCCCTAGTGTTTTATTTATTAAGGAATTTAAAAGAATCTTGATAACACCTGGGTGTTCTTTTTTTTTCTAAATGATATAAAAGAATTCTGTGAGCCCCGGTGTTTTTATAATTGAAAGAGTTTGAAAAAATCTAGAGAACCATTTGTGTTTTATTTTTGAAACGGTTTAAAACACTGTCAGGGTCCCGTGGTGTTTTATTTTTGAAATAATTTGAAATAATCTTGACAAACTGTCGTGTCTTTTTTTTTAATAATGTTAAAGAATCTCGGAGGCCATTGATCTTTTATTTTTTTAAGAAATTTAAAAGGATCTTGAGAACCCCAGGGTGATCCTTTTTTTTTCTAAAGAATATAAAAGACTCCTCAGAGCCCCCGGGGCATTTATTTTTTAAAGAATTTGAAAAAATCTAGGGAACCCTTTGTGTTTTATTTTTGAAACGGTTTAAAACACTGTCAGGGTCCTCTGATGTTTTATTTTTGAACTAACTTGAAAGAATCTTGACGACTTCTCGTATCTTTTTTTTTATGAAAAAATCTCGGGTCCCCTAGTGTTTTATTTATTAAGGAATTTTAAAGAATCTTGATAACACCTGGGTGTTCTTTTTTTTTCTAAATGATATAAAAGAATCCTGTGAGCCCCGGTGTTTTTATAATTGAAAGAGTTTGAAAAAATCTAGAGAACCATTTGTGTTTTATTTTTGAAACGGTTTAAAACACTGTCAGGGTCCCGTGGTGTTTTATTTTTGAAATAATTTGAAATAATCTTGACAAACTCTCGTGTCTTTTTTTTTAATAATGTTAAAGAATCTCGGAGGCCATTGATCTTTTATTTTATTGCGCAATTTAAAAGGATCTTGAGAACCCCAGGGTGATCCTTTTTATTTCTAAAGAATATAAAAGACTCCTCAGAGCCCCCGGGGCATTTATTTTTTAAAGAATTTGAAAAAATCTAGGGAACCCTTTGTGTTTTATTTTTGAAACGGTTTAAAACACTGTCAGGGTCCTCTGATGTTTAATTTTTGAACTACTTTGAAAGAATCTTGACGACTTCTCGTATCTTTTTTTCAATGTGAAAGAATCTCGGGTCCCCGGGTGTTTTATTTGTGAAATGATTTGAAAGAATCTTGACAAACTCTCGCGTCTTTATTTTTAGGAATGTTAAAAAATCTTGGAGGCCATTGGTGTTTTATTTTTTAAGGAATTTAAAAGAATCTTGAGAACGCCAGGGTGTTCTTTTTTTTCTAAAGAATATAAAAGAATCTTGAGAGTCCCTGGGCTTTTATTTTTGAAAGAATTTGAAAACATCTAGGGGACCATTTGTGTTTTATTTTTGAAACGGTTTAAAACGCTGTCAGGGTCTCCTGATATTTTATTTTTGAACTAATTTGAAAGAATCTTGACGACCTCTCGTATCTTTTTTTTTCAATGTGAAAGGATCTCGGGTCCCCTGGTGTTTTATTTGTGAAATGATTTGAAACAATCTTGACAAACTCTCGCGTCTTTATTTTTAAGAATGTTAAAGAATCTCGGAGGCCTTTGGTGTTTTATTTTTTAAGGAATTTAAAAGAATCTTGAGAACGCCAGGGTGTTCTTTTTTTTCTAAAGAATATAAAAGAATCTTGAGAGCCCCTGGGCTTTTATTTTTGAAAGAATTTGAAAACATCTAGGGAACCATTTGTGTTTTATTTTTGAAACGGTTTAAAGCACTGTCAGGGTCCCCTGGTGTTTTATTTTTGAACTGATTTGAAAGAATCTTGACGACCTCTCGTATCTTTTTTTTTAATGTGAAAAAATCTCGGGTCCCCTGGTGTTGTATTTGTGAAATGATTTGAAACAATCTTGATAAACTCTGGCGTCTCTATTTTTAAGAATGTTAAAGAATCTCGGACGCCATTGGTGTTTTATTTTTTAAGGAATTTAAAAGAATCTTGAGAACGCCAGAGTGTTCTTTTTTTCTAAAGAATATAAAATAATCTTGAGAGCCCCTGGGCTTTTATTTTTGAAAGAATTTGAAAACATCTAGGGAAGCATTTGTGTTTTATTTTTGAAACGGTTTAAAACACTGTCAGGGTCTCCTAGTGTTTTATTTCTGAACTAATTTGAAACAATCTTGACGACCTCTCGTATCTTTTTTTCAATGTGAAAGAATCTCGGGTTCCCTGGTGTTTTATTTGTGAAATGATTTGAAACAATCTTGACAAACTCTCGCGTCTTTATTTTTAAGAATGTTAAAGAATCTCGGAGGCCATTGGTGTTTTATTTTTTAAGGAATTTAAAAGAATCTTGAGAACGCCAGGGTGTTCTTTTTTTTCTAGAGAATATAAAAGAATCTTGAGAGCCCCTGGACTTTTATTTTTGAAAGAATTTGAAAACATCTAGGGAACCATTTGTGTTTTATTTTTGAAACGGTTTAAAACACTGTCAGGGTCCCCCGGTGTTTTATTTTTGAACTAATTTGAAAGAATCTTGACGACCTCTCGTATCTTTTTTTTTTCAATGTGAAAGAATCTCGGGTCCCCTGGTGTTTTATTTGTGAAATGATTTGAAACAATCTTGACAAACTCTCGCGTCTTTTTTTTAAGAATGTTAAAGAATCTCGGAGGCCATTGGTGTTTTATTTTTTAAGGAATTTAAAAGAATCTTGAGAAAGCCAGGGTGTTCTTTTTTTTCTAAAGAATATAAAAGAATCTTGAGAGCCCCTGGGCTTTTATTTTTGAAAAAATTTGAAAACATCTAGCGAACCATTTGTGTTTTATGTATGAAACGGTTTAAAACACTGTCAGGGTCCCCTGGTGTTTTATTTTTGAACTAATTTGAAAGAATCTTGACGACCTCTCGTATCTTTTTTTTTCAATGTGAAAGAATCTCGGGTCCCCTGGTGTTTTATTTGTGAAATGATTTGAAACAATCTTGACAAACTCTCGCGTCTTTATTTTTAAGAATGTTAAAGAATCTCGGAGGCCATTGGTGTTTTATTTTTTAAGGAATTTAAAAGAATCTTGAGAACGCCAGGGTGTTCTTTTTTTTCTAAAGAATATAAAAGAATCTTGAGAGCCAATGGGCTTTTATTTTTGAAAGAATTTGAAAACATCTAGGGGACCATTTGTGTTTTATTTTTGAAACGGTTTAAAGCACTGTCAGGGTCCCCTGATGTTTTATTTTTGAACTAATTTGAAAGAATCTTGACGACCTCTCGTATCTTTTTTTTTCAATGTGAAAGAATCTCGGGTCCCCTGGTGTTTTATTTTTGAAATAATTGAAAGAATCTTGACAAACTCTCGTGACTTTTTTTAAGAATGTTAAAAAATCTCGGAGGCCATTGATGTTTTATTTTTTAAGGAATTTAAAAGAATCTTGAGAACGCCAGGGTGTTCTTTTTTTTCTAAAGAATATAAAAGAATCTTGAGAGCCGCTGGGCTTTTATTTTTGAAAGAATTTGAAAACATCTAGGGAATCATTTGTGTTTTATTTTTGAAACGGTTTAAAACATTGTCAGGGTCCCCTGGTGTTTTAATTTTGAACTAATTTGAAAGAATCTTGACGACCTCTCGTATCTTTTTTTTCAATGTGGAAGAATCTCAGGTCCCCTGGTGTTTTATTTGTGAAATAATTTGAAAGTATCTTAGGATCCCGTGGTGTTCTATTTTTGAGGTAATTTGAAAGAATCTTGAGAACACCAGGGTGTTTTTTTTTTCAAAGATTGTAAAAGAATTTTGAGAGCCCCTGGGGTTTTATGCTTTTAAAGAATTCTAGTAATCCTTGAGTTTTAGTTCCGAAACAATTTAAAAAAATCTTCGGATCCCAAGTGCTTTATTTTTGATGTAAGAACCTGAAAATTCATCTACCATTAAAAAAAAAAAACTAGTTTATCAAATCTGGAAGGATTTTTTAAACAATTTCACATCTTGTGCACGTTTGGGTTAATCTAACCGATTTTTTGTAACTTCAAACGCAAAGTTTATTTACATTTTTCAACAAAACATGTGACTCACATCATCTGGTATTTTAAGTAATTTAAAATCCTTTCAATGATTGTAGACTAATTCAATGAATGGAAATCCACCACGCTACACTGAAATGAAACAATAGTAGCTTGTGTCACAACAAGATTGATTATTGCATTGAACAATTAAAGATAACAGTATCAATTTCAAGTACACGTACGTCCGTTATCGGAGTTTTTTACAAAGCTTGCCACAAATAATTACTGTTGACATTTCATATAGCGGAAACAAACGAGAAAGCTGACTTATTAGTTATTATTATCAATCACACAATGTGGGTACCTCTACCAGTTGCGTAATCGCCAATTCAATCGGAATTTTTCCATAACGATCATCAAGAATCTGACCTCTGTCTAAGAATGGAATATACCTGGTAATTAAATTTGAAATCGGGAAGCATTCTATACGCATTTATTCCACATTACGGAACGACGTTTCAATAAATTCAAACTTCAATTATCTGAGGCACGATTCCAATATCCGGTTCAAAGTCACAGTGATTCAAGAAGTTTATAGCCGCTAGGGTTTTATTCTCGTCCGGTTGGTAACATGAATATTTTGTAACTCTTAATTAGCGAATACAAACAATTAAGATTCCGAGACGAGTTACGAAATCCGTTACAATGGCAAAAATAATTGGTAATGCGTGGATTTGGTAACCAATTCAGAAATGCCCCTTGTGATTCTGGTCCCACGCGAACCTTTTTTTTTGTCAAATTCAGTTGAGACAGACTGAGATAAGAACGAAGTTTATTATGTTTATAAAAAATAATTGCTACTGAGAATAAAAATGATTAAATATCAAGGAAACTAATCACGGGAATGTTGCCAAACTCGTTAGAACTCGGAAACTAAAAAAAATTACTTAGTCATTCGAAAAGTGAGATCGAGTTTTTACAAAATCGTGATATAATAAAATTGAGAACGCGGAAATCATCCAGGTTCTAAAATTAGCAAAATTGAAATTTTATTCCAAAATCAGCGACAGACAAGGTCCAAGATCAAGGTTATCCCAAATTAAATCGACTTTTGTGCAATAAATTAGATAAACCACGATCTACTTTGTGGCGTGTTTCGAACGAAAACTCATTAACGTCAAAAGTGAAGTTGTAAACCCGTAAATTACGATAACGGGCATCTTAAAAAAAAAATCAAAAGGCTGCTCCACATATCCATCATTACGCTCACTTATGTCCATTATCAAACTTTATTGCTTGATTTGAATTACTGTAATACCTCGAGCAAAAAGCAGCTCCATCGACAAGGTCAGTAAACTTACTGAACTTGAGGTCATCGCGACGGTGCGAAATTTTTCCACCAAAAATTTTTTTGAGACAATCCGGCTCGAAGGAGCAACATTTTACACCTACCGGAAACTCTTCGCATACTCGGAGTTGAGTCTGGTCCTGTCCGTGACCGAGTGCAGGTCGTCGTCGTCGGTGTGGTCGTCTTCGGAGTGGCCGATGGAGCCGTCTCTGTCCGTGTTGTGGCTTTCGCTTCTCACTCTGTTGACTTGGAATCGCGTCCGTTTTTCGTCTCCGGCCAGGTTCCGCAGCTCGACCACGTCTTGGTCGCTCCGCGGCACCGTGGAGCCTCCGTTTCGTTCAGACATGGCGAAAACTGAAAGAGTGGAATTGGTTGTTAAAGTGGCTCCAATTTGGAGTTAATGGGCGGATTTGGGTAATTTTAGATTTGTGGGATTCGGTTTCTGGGTACGGCAGATGCAATTGGATAATTTGCATGTCTGGGTGTATGTAGTGGTCGAAAGTACAAGATTCTATTTTATCTAGACATTTTATGTATTAAGATTGGGAAATCTAGAACTTTCTGGACGTTTAAATATAAAAAAGAGGTAACATCCGACAGAGCTCTAAATACATGCCTGATAAATATGAAATTATTCTAAATCCTAGAGCCATCATCCCCAAATTTTTAAATTTTTGGAACTCTGATTAAATTTTCAAAAATCAGAAAGGTACGATTTTTTTACATGTTTCTACTTGCTTGTGACAGAATGCTCAAAATTTCGAAATTCTCTCTTCATCTAGACATTTCCCAATAACAGAATTTGGAATTTTAGAACATTTGTATCTTCAATTTCAGAACATAAGTTGCTTTATTACGACAAAGCAAAAAAGATATTTTGATATTTTTCAATTTCCTGTATGTTTCAAAATTTGATAATTCTACTTTATCTAGACATTTCACAGTATCAAGATGGGAAATCTAGAACTTTCTGGACGTTTGATTATAAAAAAGAGGAAACATCTGACAGATCTCTAAATACATAACTGATAAATATGAAATTACTCTAAATCCTAGAGCCATCATCCCCACATTTCTAAATTTTTGGAACTCTGATTAATTTTCAAAAATGAGAAAAGAACATTTTTTTTCGTATTTGTACTTGCTTAAGACAGAATGCTGGATATTTCTAAATTCTCTCTTCATCTAGACATTTCCCAATAATAGTATTTGGAATTTTAGAACATTTGTATCTTCAATTTCGAAAGATAATGTTGCTTTATTACGACAAAGCAAAAAAGATATTTTTCAGTTTCATAAATGTTTCACGTACAATTTTCAAAATTTGAAAATTCTAGTTTATCTAGACAATTCACAGTATCAAAATTGGGGAATCTAGAGCTTTCTGGACGTTTAAATTAAAAAAAAAAACATAGGACAGAGCTTTAAATACATAACTGATAAATATGAAATTATTCTAAATCCTAGAGCCATCATCCCCAAATTTCTAAATTTTTGGAACTCTGATTAATTTTCAAAAATCAAAAAAGAACATTTTTTTTCGTATTTGTACTTGCTTAAGACAGAATGCTCCAAATTTCTAAATTCTCTCTTCATCTAAACATTTCCCAATAATAGAATTTGGAATTTTAGAACACATGTATCTTCAATTTCAGAAGATAAGTTGCTTTATTATGACAAGGCAAAAAAGATATTTTTCAATTTCCTACATGTTTCAAAATTTGAAAATTCTACGTTATCTAGACATTTCACAGTATGAAGATTGGGAAATCTAGAACTGTCTGGACGTTTCAATATAAAAAAGAAGAAACATCCGACAGAGCTATGAATACATAACTAATAAATATGAAATTATTCTAAATCCTAGAGCCATCATCTCCAAATTTCTAAATTTTTGTAACTCGGATTTAATTTTCAAAAATCAGAAAGGAACGATTTTTTTTCATATTTGTACTTGCTTGAGGCAGAATGAACAAAATTTCGAAATTCTCTCTTCATCTAGAAATTTCCAAATAATAGAATTTGGAATTTTAGAACGTCCGTATCGTCTATTTCAGAAGATAACTTGCTTTATTATGAAACAACAAAAAAATATATTTTTCAATTTATTAAACGTTTGACCTACAATTTCCAAAATTTGAAAATTCTACTTTATCTAGACATTTCACAGTATCAAGATTGGGAAATTTAGAACTTTCTATACGTTTAAATATAAAAAAAAAAGAAACATCCGACAGAGCTCTAAATATATAACTAATAAATATGAAATTATTCCAAACCCTAGAACCATCATCCCCAAATTTCTAAATTTTTGGACCTATGATTAATTTTCAAAACTCAGAAAAGAACATTTTTTTGTATTTGTACTTGCTTAAGACAGAATGCTGGAAATTTCGAAATTCTTTCTTCATCTAGACATTTCCCAATATGTAATAAAATTTGGAATTTTAGAACATTTGTATCTTCAATTTCGAAAGATAATGTTGCTTTATTACGACAAAGCAAAAAAGATATTTTTCAATTTCATAAATGTTTCACGTACAATTTTCAAAATTTGAAAATTCTAGTTTATCTAGACAATTCACAGTATCAAATTGGGGAATCTAGAACTTTCTGGTCGTTTAAATAAAAAAAAAAACATCCGACAGAGCTCTAAATACATAACTGATAAATATGAAATTATTCTAAATCCTAGAGCCATCATCCCCAAATTTCTAAATTTTTGGAACTCCGATTAATTTTCAAAAATCAGAAAAGAACATTTTTTTTCGTATTTATACTTGCTTAAGACAGAATGCTGGAAATTTCTAAATTCTCTCTTCATCTAGACATTTCCCAATAATAGAATTTGGAATTTTAGAACATTTGTATCTTCAATTTTGAAAGATAATGTTGCTTTATTACGACAAAGCAAAAAAGATATTTTTCAATTTCATAAATGTTACACGTACAATTTTCAAAACTTGAAAGTTCTAGTTTATCTAGACAATTCACAGTATCAAAATTGGGGAATCTAGAACTTTCTGGACTTTTACATTAAAAAAAAAACATCCGACAGAGCTCTAAATACATAACTGATAAATATGAAATTATTCTAAATCCTAGACTCATCATCACCAAATTTCTAAATTTTTGGACCTCTGATTAATTTTCAAAAATCATAAAAGAACATTTTTTTACATATTTCTACTTGCTTGTGACAGAATGCTCAAAATTTCGAAATTCTCTCTTCATGTAGAAATTCCCAATAACAGAATTTGGAATTTTAGAACATTTGTATCTTCAATTTCGAAAGATAATGTTGCTTTATTACGACAAAGCAAAAAAGATATTTTTCAATTTCATAAATGTTTCACGTACAATTTTCAAAATTTGAAAATTTTACTTTATCTAGACAATTCACAGTATCAAAATTGGGGAATCTAGAACTTTCTGGACGTTTAAATTAAAAAAAAAAACATCCGACAGAGCTCTAAATATATAACTGATAAATATGAAATTATTCTAAATCCTAGAGTCATCATCACCAAATTTCTGAATTTTTGGAACTCTGATTAAATTTTCAAAAATAAGAAAGGAACGATTTTTTTACATATTTCTACTTGCTTGGAGCAGAATGCTCAAAATTTCGAAATTCTCTCTTCATCTAGACATTTCCCAATAACAGGATTTGGAATTTTAGAACATTTGTATCTTCAATTTCAGAAGATAAGTTGCATTATTATGACAAAGCAAAAAAGATATTTTTCGATTTCCTACATGTTTCAAAATTTGAAAATTCTACTTTATCTAGACATTACACAGTATCAAGTTTGGGAAATCTAGAACTTTCTGTACGTTTAAATATAAAAAAAGAGGAAACATCGGACAGAGTTTTACATACATAACTGATAAATACGAAATTATTCTAAATCCTAGAGCAATCATCACCAAATTTCTAAATTTTTGGAACTCGGATTAAATCTTCAACAATCAGAAAGGAACGATTTTTTACATATTTCTACTTGCTTGTAACAGAATGCTCAAAATTTCGAAATTCTCTCTTCATCTAGACATTTCCCGATAACAGAATTTGGAATTTTAGAACATTTGTATCTTCAATTTCAGAAGATAAGTTGCTTTATTATGACAAAGCAAAAAAGATATTTTTCAATTTCCTACATGTTTCAAAATTTGAAAATTCTACATTATCTAGACATTTCACAGTATTAAGATTGGGAATTCTAGAACTTTCTGGACGTTTAAATATAAAAAAGAGTAAACACCCGACAGAGCTCTAAATACATAACTGATAAATATGAAATTATTCTAAATCCTAGAGTCATCATCACCAAATTTCTGAATTTTTGGAACTCTGATTAAATTTTCAAAAATCAGAAAGGAACGATTTTTTTACATATTTCTACTTGCTTGTGACAGAATGCTCAAAATTTCGAAATTCTCTCTTCATCTAGACATTTCCCAATAACAAAATTTGGAATTTTAGAACATTTGTATCTTCAATTTCAGAAGATAAGTTGCATTATTATGACAAAGCAAAAAAGATATTTTTCGATTTCCTACATGTTTCAAAATTTGAAAATTCTACTTTATCTAGACATTTCACAGTATTCAGATTGGGAAATCTAGAACTTTCTGGACGTTTAAATATAAAAAAAGAGGAAACATCCGACAGAGCTTTAGATACATAACTGACAAATACGAAATTATTCTAAATCCTAGAGCCATCATCACCAAATTTCTAAATTTTTGAAACTCTGATTAAATTTTCAAAAATCAGAAAGGAACGATTTTTTTACACATTTCTACTTGCTTGGAGCAGAATGCTCAAAATTTCGAAATTCTCTGTTCATCTAGACATTTCCCAATAACAGAATTTGGAATTTTAGAACATTTGTATCTTCAATTTCAGAAGATAAGTAGCTTTATTATGACAAAGCAAAAAGATATTTTTCAATTTCCTACATGTTTCAAAATTTGAAAATTCTACTTTATCTAGACATGACACAGTATCAAGTTTGGGAAATCTAGAACTTTCTGTACGTTTAAATATAAAAAAGAGGAAACATCCGACAGAGCTTTAAATACATAACTGATAAATATGAAATTATTCTAAATCCTAGAGTCATCATCACCAAATTTCTAAATTTTTGGAACTCTGATTTAATTTTCAAAAATCAGAAAGGAACGATTTTTTTACATATTTCTACTAGCTTGTGACAGAATGCTCAAAATTTCGAAATTCTTTCTTCATCTAGACATTTCCCAATAATAGAATTTGGAATTTTAGAACATTTGTATCTTCAATTTCGAAAGATAATGTTGCTTTATTACGATAAAGCAAGAAAGATATT